AATCCTCGATTTAACTGTAAATATAAATAAATATAATCCAATGCGCGCGGGGTGCCATATTAAATTACCGCGAGAAATAATAATGAAGAGAGCGGTGATAAACGTGCAATCCAAAGACAATGCGTGTTTCGCGTGGGCGGTGGTCGCTGCTTTGTATCCAGCTGAAGATCATGTTTATCGGGAATCTTCGTACCCGCATTACACAACAGTGCTGAATCTCCAGGACATTGAGTTTCCAGTGACTGTTAATCAAATTAAAAAGTTTGAACTTCATAACGACATTTCGATAAATGTATACTGCATCGAGAAAGAGAATAGCGTTGTCCCGATACGTCTGAGCGATCAAAAGAAGGACAGGCACGTCAACTTGTTGTACATGCAAGATTCGGAAGACGTCGGACATTTTGCGTGGATCAAGAATTTATCCCGGCTCGTGAGCTCGCAACTGAGCAAACGTAATGGTCAAAAATATATCTGCGATCGGTACGTATATTTAATAAAAAAATGCAATATATAAAATATACGAAAGAAAAATTAATTATTTCTATTTTTTTTTTACAGATGTTTACACTATTTTGGATCGGACGACAAGTTGCAATCGCACACTGTAGACTGCCGAGAAATGAACGAGTGCGCCATCCGATTACCGGGCGATAAGGACAAATGGCTCAGCTTCAACAACTACAATAGAAAGGAGCGGCTTCCATTCGTCGTATACGCCGACTTGGAGTGCGTGCTGAGGAAGACCGACGGTGATCCGATGACGTCTACGTACACGTTTCAACATCATCAAGTATTTAGTGTAGCTTATTATGTACATTGTTCGTAGGACGAATCGTTATCCGCGTATCATTCTCGCCGCAGTACGGACTGCGTTTCGTGGTTCGTGGAAAAATTAAAAAATTTAGCGCAACGCGTAAAGACTATTTTAACCACGAATGTCCCCATGGTAAATTTAACGCGAGATGAGCGGGAAAAGTTTCACAGCGCGACACACTGTTACATTTGCGAAAAACCGTTTGCGCAAGACGATACACGCGTACGCGATCATTGCCATCTTACCGGGCGGTACCGAGGTCCCGCGCATTCAAACTGCAATTTAAATTATAAAGACTCTTTTTGCATTCCAATAGTTTTTCACAATTTATCCGGTTACGATTCACATTTTATCATCGAGGAAATAGCTACCGCGTTCGAAGGCTCGATCAACGTACTACCGATAACGAAAGAAAAGTATATTTCATTCACGAAACACGTTAAAGATACCGCCGAAAGATCAGATTGGCGAAGCGATATAAAGTTACGGTTCATCGATTCGTACAAATTTCTCAGTACTAGTCTCGAAAAATTGGCATCGTTTCTAAATAATGATAAACTCCAAATTTTAAAATCGAAATTTCAAGATTTATCGACCGAAGAGTTCAATTTATTGACGCGAAAAGGTGTCTTTCCATACGAATACATTGACTGTGTCGATAGGTTGCACGATACGTGTTTACCACCGCGCGAATCATTTTACAGTTCCTTGACCGGTGACACCGTATCCAAGAGCGATTACGCGCATGCCGAAAACGTCTGGAGGCTGTTCTCCGTTCGAACGCTGGGCGAATACAGCGACTTGTATTTAAAAACGGATGTCTTGTTATTGGCCGACATTTTTGAAAATTTTCGCGACAAATGTATCGAGAGTTATGGTCTCGACCCCGCGTATTATTATACTCTTCCCGGATACACGTGGGACGCCATGCTAAAACATACGAATATTACGTTTGAATCACTTACTGATATCAATATGGTTATGTTTATTGAACGTGGTATACGCGGTGGCCTGAACCAATGTTCCGGCAGATACGCGCGAGCCAATAACAAGTACACGCCGTCTTACGATCCATCGAAACCATCGTCGTACATGATGTATTTCGATGTAAACAACTTGTATAGTTGGGCGATGTGTCAACCGTTGCCCTATCCGAATTTCGATGGGTCGACGACATCTCTGACTTTAACGTTAGCG